GTCTTTCTGATTCTGGGTGTTACACCCTAACCGCTTTGAGTGATCTACGGCCATTTTTGGTGCTTTTGAATAGTTTGTGAAGCTTGGAAGGAAGGAAGAAGCTTGGGAATTCGAGTTGGGGCTTGTGGATCCAGAGATCTTACTCCATCTTCAGCTTAAGCAAGGTAAATGCCCCCTGTTTTGCTCTTCCATTTGGTTGTTCATCTCTAGGGCTTAGATTTTTGGGTGCATTTAGGGCTTTCCAAGCCATTTTCGAATTGTGAAGTGTTTCATGGAGTTCTACTTCCAGATCTGAGTCATTGGAGGGGTCTCATGGCATAAAGGTGCCAACTCTATGGCCATGAGAGCCCCATGCACATTGTAAAGCTCCTTTTATGAATTTTTGAGCCAAAGACCCCATGCATGTGCACCAAGTTTGGAACTTTACGTGTGAAATGGACATTAGGAGGCTAGATCTATGGTTTTGAGGTGTTAAGACCCATTTAAATTGACTTTATAGTAATGGTCATAGAGGAACTCGACGAGTCGCTCTTGGGACTCGGCGAGTCGCGGTGTATAGACCACCAAATCCTTTCTGTGAAGGAAGCAGTTGTTAGCAAGGAAAAGTCCCGTAGATGTTTAGTCATGAAAGGGACCTGGGAATCATGGGACTCGACGAGTGTATGAACAGACTCGGCGAGTCCAAGGCAATCTCCCAACTTATGAAGACGAACTCGACGAGTTGTTCATACAACTCGGCGAGTCAAGGGCGGACTTGTTCATAGGATGGGGATGAACTCGACGAGTTGTTCATACAACTCGGCGAGTCGGATGAAGATAGTCCCGATGGTTTGAATGAATGTGAACTTGTCGTGTTCTCGCAAGGCTCGATGAGTGATGTTGGGGTTGGACCGGGTTAGTGGAGCATGGACTCGACGAGTTGGTAGACCAACTCGGCGAGTCAGGTCAACTAGGTGTTGACTTTGACCAATGTTGACTTGCTTGGTTTAAGGATTGACCCTGGTTAGGGTTGTTTGTTCTGTTTGATGACTTGAGGGTTGTCGTGTAGGGATTGAGGAGTCGAGGAGAGCCGACCTTCACGCCAAGGGCAGTTCAGACACTACACGACATCGAGGTGAGTTACCTTCCAGTAGAAGTGGGTCTACGACACCAAAGCCGGCCCACTAGTAGATGTTTAGCTGAGATAATTGTCTTTGTGATAATTGTCTGGTCGGCTATTATTGATATGCGAATATGCTAGTTTGCTTGATATATGACTATGCTAGTTTACTATGTTATGTGAGATGGTATGAGTAGGAGGGGACTAGTCCCCGAATCGGTCGCTAGGACCAATGGGTAGGTCGGACACCCCAGATACGTCTGACAGTATGATAGAGATATGACATTATGTGTTAGCAGTAGGGGTGAAATAGTCCCCGAGTCCGGTTGAAAGACCGAAGGGTAGGTCGGCACCCCAGAATAGCCTGACATGGGTAGGTCAGCACCCCAGAATGGCTTGACATGGGTAGGTCAGCACCCCAGAATGGCTTGACATGGGTAGGAGGGGCGCCCCAGAATGGCCCGAAAATATATATATGCTATGTGATTGTATGGTATGTGGTATGATGGGGGAACTCACTAAGCTTTGTGCTTACAGTTTTAGTTTTGGTTTCAGGTACCTCTTCGCCTAAGGGGAAGGAGCCGCCGGTGTAGCAGCGCATCACACACACACATGATTTCCGCATGGAGTTTTCTGGGATTGTACTCTGATTTATTTTACTTTGACATGATGATTTTCAGACACATTGTTATATCTCTGTTTGCAAATGATATGACTTGGGAAATGTTTTGGTAAACTATGTTGAGAATTACTTAATTAAAAATGAAAAATTTGGGCTTGAAATTTGGGATGTTACAGTTTTGGTCCAAAAAAGTTTAGTGGTGCATTAATGGTCCAATTTTGAATATTTTTAGTGATTTTGGTCCCTATACACTTAAAATGACTTTTATGACTTATATTTTATTTTTTCCAAATTTTTAATTTTTATAATACTTCATTTATTACTAAAATGTTGGGTCCCACCTTCACCATTTTTTCTCCTAACCCTTCAGCCCTGGATCGACTTGATCATCTCTTTACATCCACCACCTCCTTCTGTTTCTAATCTTCCCATTTTCGGAAATAACCTCTACTCTTACCATTGCCGGAAAAAACCTCTCTTTGGAGAAAAAGTTTTGGCCCAATGACGAAGCCCTTTATTAGATCCACGGGCCGCCACAATTTTTCTCCGTCTGTTGCTACCTTATCAGAACCTTCAACAAAAAGCTTTAGTGTACCGACAAAAAGCCCTTCATCAGAATCAATAGCCACTACTACATTCTCTGCCACCGATTCCTTCGCCCACGACGTGAATCAAAATCATCGTCAGTTTCTCAATTTAGTTTTATTGGATCCGAAACAGAAGGACATCAATGTTTTCTTCTAGTGTTTGCTTTACTAATGTTTTCTTTTGGTGTTTGCTTTAGATTTATTTCAAATTTGATTTGGTGTTTTTTTTTCTTTAAGGTAAATCTCTCATATAATAATAAAACTTAGTTATCATCGTACAACGAGTGAGATGTCAAACGGTTTTATGGATTTATTTTTTCTCTAATGGGAAGCTTCCATCAATTTTGATTTAGTTCATCAATTTTTTAGGTTGTAGAATGGTTCTTTCTGGATCTATAAACAAGCTGATGGCTGGTAGTGATTGGTGGTGGCTATCAGTTCTTTTAGAAGGGAAGTTGGTGGTAGTAGTGGCCCGACAGGTGGTAGTGACTGACAACAATGAGGATGGTTGGGTTAGTAGGAGGTGGGAATTTTCTTTTCTTTTTTTGTTTCTTTTCTTTTTGGTTTTTTTTTAATTATAGTAATAAGAAATTAAAAAATAATTATTTAATGACATATTCATCATTTCCGGTTGAGTATGGACAAAACCGACACAAAATATCCAAAATTGGACCGCTGATGCACCACCAAGCTTTTTTGGACCCAAACCATAGTTTTTTTTTACAACAACATGAACCATTTTTGCAACTTTGTCTTAAATTAATTACTTAGCAATTATGGTTGTTTCTTTAAAAAAAAAGTCAAAATTCCTGAGTTTCACTGATTTGACCGAGTTTTTCTGAGTTGGATCGCGATTTCGAGTTTTTTTGACCGATTTCTAGTAAATCTCCTCGGACATACTCGATTCCGAGTACTCGACCTAATATGTCGAGTTTTAAAACACTGATTTATAGGATATAATTTTTTTAAAAGTTAAACATTTTTTACAAAAAGTCATAACGTTTGAAATAAGAGGAGAGAGAAACCATGATGGCATGATCACCTCACCTCATCATAGGGTAGAGGAGAGTATGTGGTGTTTCTGCCCTTGTCGACGACCGACAACCCCAACACTATGCATGCAACAGACTATTTATAACACTTAACCTAATGACAGATGAATGTTTAACACTCGATGGATGGAACCTACTAAAAATCTAATTTCATAAAACAAATCCTAAATTAATAATAAAAATGTTATAAAAATTTAATTTAGTGGCAAAGGGGAATTAGATGCCTAAACTTGGTAGCTTTTCTACAAGGGATAATGACTTAAAAGGGTAACATATTATTCGATTTGTACACATTTGGTCACTGAATTTTTTTTTCGTCCACATTTACCCCTTAAACTTGTTAAACTGTACACATTCAGTCCTTATGACCTGTTACTCCAGGTTAGCCGGGAAAAATGACTTGATAGGGTAATATATTTTTCATTTTGTACACATTTAGTCCTTAATATTTTTGTACATATTTAGTCCTCAAAATTTCTTTTTGTTTCAAAATAAGTCATTTTTTGTACTCATTCAGTACTTATGAATGATTTCTTTAGGTTTTTTCACGACATCTTACGTGAGACAATCATTGATGAGGTGCTTGGGGTTGTTGATGCTTATGTCCAATGCGATCTCGACTGTTTGGTTGCGTAAGTCTTGTGGTTTGGCTTAGGTCTTGTATTTTGAACATCGTAACTTCTTCATACGATATCAGATTTTAAGGATCTTTATCCACATTGTTCATTTTTTGAGTCTACTACAACTTTCATTAAGATTACCCCCGTTAAAATGTAATATATTTTTACTAACGATTTTATAAAAAAAACATACATACATGCATTCATAAAAAACGTATGGACATGGGAAGACGCAGTAATACATAGTAGGTGTTGCCGATATGAAATAGGTGTTGCTGATACATGAAAAATCGGTATAAGCGTAAAAAATAAAGCGAAAATTTTTCCACTGCGAACAGAAAAAACAGGTGCAACACCGGGACCATACTAAATCCGCCACCGGGTATGGATATAAAAATGGTAAGTAAAAATATATTATTTTTTAATGGGAGTAATCTAAATGAAAGTTGTAGTAGACTAAAATACGAACGCATGGATATAAAAATCGTTAAAATCCGAGATCATATGAAGAAGTTATGACGTTCAGAACACATGACCTAAGCAACCAAGTAGTCGAGATCGCGATGGATATAAGCATCAAAAGCCCCATACACCTCATTAATGAATGTCCTACGTAAGATTTCGTGAGAAAAAACTAAAAAATCATTCATAAGTACTAAATGAGTACAAAAAAAAATGACTTAATTTGCGCCAAAAAAAAAGGACTAAATGTGTACAAAAATATTAAAGACGAAATGTGTACAAAGTGAGAAATATATTACCCTATTAAGTCATTTTTACCGGGTAACCTGAAGTAGCCGGTCATAAGGACTGAATGTATACAGTTTAACAAGTTGAAGGGGTAAATATGGACGAAAAAAAAACTCAGTGACCAAATGTGTACAAATCGAAAAATATATTACCCTTTTAAGCCATTATCCGTTTCTACAATGCATCATTTTACATTTACCATCTTGGTTTAGTTTTCATTATACCCATTGACCCTTGTCTTGTAAAAATCTTTGTTTTAGTTGCCTCTTGTGCAAGAAAAATTCCAAACGTGAACTGTACCTCAAATTACCGAAATCTCCCTCGTTCCATGTTCCATTCTCGATTCAACTGAGATTTTCTTTAAACCCTAAACGTGAAAAGGGGGTTTATGCTCTACCCAAAAATCTTAACACAGTCTTTTATTGCAGTGATTGAATTGAGCTACAGATAGGTTTATACTTTCGAAAGCCCGTTAATGGCGGCTTCCAGGTTCGCATCGTTGGCTGCTATGGCGGCTGCCGCGGCCGCATCAACCACCACTTACTCGTACGCCGACGCTCCGTCGTATCGTTTCAATCCGTTTGCTCAATCTCCGACACCATCCCAGTCGCCCCAATCGGGGTCGGAGCCTTCAAACACGGAACCTAAGCCCGAGGTTGAGGATTCGAAAGGGGGTTTTGATCCTGAAGCTCTAGAAAGGGGAGCTAAAGCACTCAGGGAAATCAATAGTAATCCCTATTCTAAGCAGGTGAACGTAGTTCAAATGTTTTTGTTATTAATAGTAGTCATTTTCTACCAATGGTGCAAGTACTGCATTTGTATCATTGGTTGAAGGTATTAGCGTTTGTGTTTTCTTTGTTGGACTTTGCTTTTCGGATTAATCATTGGTTGGAAACGGAAGCAGCCAAAAGCTGAAAGATTTTATAAGTTTCTCTTTTTGGAACGACATGATATATACTTCCAATCTTTCCCCTGCAAAAAGCGTGGCTTGCTTACATGGATTTTGGTTCATTCTTTTAGGTGTTTGAGGTGATGAGAAAACAAGAAGAGGCTCGTCTTGCTGAATTGGCAGCAGAGAAGGCTCATCAGGAAGCCATTCAGGCTCAACTTGCTATCGTGAGTATGCTTTTGACTGTTTGTCTGCCTTTTGTATTTGGGAATTCCATTACATAATAGTTAATAATCATGTTCATATGCAGCAACAACAGCGTAAACTTGCAGAAGACCAAATGAATTTAGTAGAAAAACAATCACAAGTTAAAGCCCAAATGTTACGATATGAAGATGAGTTAGCTAGGAAAAGAATGCAGACAGATCATGAAGCTCAAAGACAACACAATGCTGAATTGGCTAGAATGCAAGAGGAATCTTTAATAAGAAAAGAACAAGCAAGAAGAGTAACTGAAGAACAGATTCAAGCTCAACAAAGACAAACAGAGAAAGAGAGAGCTGAAATAGAACGTGAAACCATTAGAGTTAAAGCCATGGCTGAGGCTGAAGGTCGTGCACATGAAGCAAAACTAACTGAAGATCACAACAGAAGAATGCTTGTGGAACGAGTCAATGGTGAGAAGGAAAAATGGCTTGCTGCAATCAACACAACTTTTGGTCACATTGAAGGTATACAAAAAGATGATGTTTCTTATAATTCTTGTGGAGAATGTGTTACTATTACACATTATTGAATACTTGCAATTTTTTCTTTTTGGATTAATTGGAGTTTGTTTATATGTAGGTGGTGTCAGGATGTTGTTGACAGATAGAAGTAAACTAGTAATGACTGTTGGAGGAGTTACTGCTTTAGCTGCAGGAGTTTATACAACCAGGTCTGCTAGATTTATACTTTAAAACTTAATTTATTTGATTAGTGCTTTTTAGATGCCTTTTTTAAATAGACAAGGGCACTTTCGTCTGTTAGAGCAAACACACGTGAATGGAACATTAAATACTGTTTTGACTAGAGGCTCTCTTATATCTTTCCTTATTAAGAATCCATCATTATTTAAATCTTGTTTTGGAAGAAGATTTAGTTTTGAGTAATTTACAGTTTTGGTCCCTTTGCTCCATTGATTTTTTTTTGGAAATCGTCCGAAAAAGAATCTTTTTACCTTTTTCCGTCCCTATTTCACTGTTTCATAACCTTTTTAATCCCTGAGCCGTGTAAGATAACAACCCACCTGTTAGTTTATGAAAATGACCATTTTGCCCTTGTCATCTCTATTTTCTTCATCTTTCTCGAAGAAAACCCTAACATGAAACCAAAACTCTGAAATTCAATCTTAAAAGTAAATTAAATAGAATCTCAGAAATAAAAACAAAATCTATCCTTGGATTAAGATTGATTATCAGCCCTTTGCAAAAAAAGGTTGACTATAAGGGGTTTCTTGGAAGGAGATGGAGAAAATGTAAAGGACAAGGGCAAAACGGTAATTTGGTTAAATTTACCAAGACCATTACTTGATTACTAGACTGTGCTGTGGCTTGTGTACATGTCTTCTTTTTTTTTTTCTTAATCTTTATCGATGAAAAACCAAAACCCTGAAATTCAATCTTAAAATTAAAATAAAAAAGAATCCCAGAAACAAAAACAAAATCTATCCATGGGTTAAGATTGATTTTCACGGGTTTCTTGGAAAAGTAGATGAAGAAAATGAAGAAGACAAGGGCAAAATGGTCATTTTGACAAATTTTTCCAAGACCTTTACTTGATCACCAGAATCTGCAGTGACTTGTTTACATATATAGTTAAAATGCTTGACAAGGTCAAAATGGTCATTTTGAAAAATTTACCAAGACCTTTTCTTGATTACCAGAATCTGCAGTGACTTGTTAGTTAAAATGCTCGACAAGGGCAAAATGGTCATTTTGAAAAATTTACTAAGACCTTTTCTTGATCACCAGAATCTGCAGTGACTTGTTTACATATATAGTTAAAATGCTTGACAAGGGCAAAATGGTCATTTTGACAAATTTACCAAGTCCTTTACATGATTACCAGAATCTGCAGTGGCTTGTTTCCTTACATATATATAGTTACAATCCTTGACAAAGATGCTGACAAATTTCTTTTTTACCCCTCAGGGAAGGTGCTAGGGTTTTGTGGGGATATGTAAACCGAATTCTTGGACAACCATCACTAATTCGAGAATCATCCATGGAAAAATTCCCATGGTCAGGAATTGCCACACGTGCAACCCAAAAAATTCGCAATTATTCTTCTGGAAAATCATCTTCTCTTAAAGATAAATCTAAATTTGGAAACATTGTACTCCATCCTTCTTTGCAAAAAAGAATAGAGCATCTTGCTAAGGCTACTGCAAATACAAAGTCTCATCAAGCTCCATTTCGCAACATGCTTTTCTATGGTCCACCTGGCACTGGCAAAACCTTGGTTGCAAGAGAAATTGCAAGAAAATCGGTATATGCTTTCTTGAATCTACATCCAATTATAGCAATCTACTTTTATTTATATGTTATATTTATAGTATTCTACTTTTGTTTCATCTTATTAAGGTATTTTACTTTGAGTTTTTTTTATAAAAAAACATGTGTTAAAAAAATGTAAATTACAGGGACAGTTTTTGTACTTTGTTTTCTACACATGGGTCAAACCTGCCAGCGTATGAAAATCTTAAACATATGGATTGTTTCTGTAAAGAAAAGTTCACAGGGACCTTTTATGTAAATTACAAAGTTATAGGGACTAAATCTGCCAATATTTAAGACTCTGAAATGCAAAAGTGCTTAGGGGTAATGAATGTATTGTGCAGGGTTTGGATTATGCAATGATGACAGGAGGAGATGTTGCTCCACTTGGTGCACAGGCTGTAACTAAAATCCATGAAATATTTGACTGGTCAAACAAGTCAAAAAGGGGTTTACTTCTCTTCATTGATGAAGCTGATGCTTTCCTTTGCGAGTAAGATCCTATTTCTTTTCCTTTCCCATTAACTTCTATTTTGAATCATTAATGTCAAGATAAGGGCAAAATGGTCATTTTCATAACTAATGTCCACTTTCTTTGCTTTTCGGACATTGTGATTTAACTTTCATTAATGTTTAACATCTTTGAAAAAATAACGACTCACACGAGGGGAAAAGGAAGAGAAAAATAAATGAGAAGAAAAGGGCAAAATGGTCATTTTTCATAACTAATGTTCACCTTCTTTGCTTTTCGGACATTGTGATTCAACTTTCATTAGTGTTTTTTTACATATTTGAGAACATAACGGCTCACATGGGTCATGGGAAAAGGAAGAGAAAAATAATTGGGAAGATAAGGGTAAAATGGTCATTTTTCATAATTAATGTCCACCTTCTTTGCTTTTGGGACATTGTGATTTACCTTCTCATGTGGGTATGTCACCCCGTACCGTTGATGGGGTTTGCATATTCCCTTTTTGGGCGTGACAAAAATTGCTAGTTTTGTCCCATTGAACATTAATTACAGTCCAATGCATCTCAAAAACACAGTAAATGCATGTACTTTCATGTCTTGTGCTGTGTGACAACTGACAACATGTGTTATGTCTTGTCATGTGTGACATGTCTTGTCATGTGTGACATGTCGTGTCCTATGTCTTGTGTAAGAACTTGTCATGTCATGTTATGTCAATCTGTCATGTTACATTTTGTTCTGTCACGTCATGTCATATCAATCTCTAATGTCATGTTATATCATGTCATGTCATGTGTAATAATCTGTTGTCGATTGTTACTTCCGATGCAGGCGTAACAGCACACACATGAGCGAAGCCCAACGAAGCGCATTAAACGCGTTACTCTTCCGAACCGGCGACCAATCACGTGATGTCGTTCTCGTCCTGGCCACAAACCGACCCGGGGATCTCGATAGCGCGATAACTGACCGTATCGACGACGTAATCGAATTCCCCCTCCCACAAGAAGACGAACGCTTCAAACTTCTAAAACTTTATTTACAAAAATACCTTCATGAAGAAGACGACAACAATGAATCCAAATGGAAATCCCTTTTCAAAACCAAAACTAAAAAGATTGTGATCAAAGAATTATCGGATGATATAATCCGAGAGGCGGCTAAAAAAACCAAAGGGTTTTCGGGCCGTGAAATAGCAAAATTAATGGCGAGTGTTCAAGCCGCGGTTTATGGGAGGCCGGATTGTGATTTGGATTCGGAGTTGTTCATGGAGGTTGTTGATTATAAAGTTGGTGAACATCAACAAAGAATTGAGCTTGCAAATTCATAGTTGAATAATGAATACATTTACCATAACATATTTGAAGAAGAGAGAGAATAAGGGATGGCTTTTTGTAGGATTTTGAGGATTTGAGCATTAGGTAGAGGATTTGGGGACTAGGGTTTTGATTTTTTGTTTGTGTGCTTGTTAAAAAGTATTTATTCATAAAAAAAACGTTTTTACGTGGAGATGATTTTTGTGTTGGAATTTGTAATTGAGCCATCGATATAAGTCTAATTCAAGGCTAATTGTGACATTGCATTATGATTAGGGCTAATGTCATAAAAACCCTCAAATTTTCAGGGTTTTGTCGGTTTTGCCAAAAGTTGAATTTTATGTCCGTTTTTACCCTAACATTTTCCAAAAAATGATTGGTTTTACCCTTTTACCGGTGATAACAGGTTACCACTATATTAACTTTGCAAAAAAAAACCCTTAACTTTACAGTTTTTTATGTTTTTACCCTTAAGTTTATAATTTTTTTTTACACTTTTACCCTATGTATTTTTTTTTTATATTATACGTATTTAAGCAGAAAAATCATATTTATATACGAAAAAAATTTAATTAAATATTGTATTTACATTTTTTTAATGTTATTTCTTTATATATATATATATATATATATATATATATATATATATATATGTATGTGTGTGTGTGTGTGTGTGAGTTTTTTTTTGTTGGAAACCATTTAAGATGTAAAAAAACAAATTAATATGTTTTTAGAACTACAAATACGTATTTTTATATATTTAAAAATATATATCAATAAAAAAACCTGTTCATTCATAAACATGTTTATATAAGTATATACATATATTTTTAGAAGTGTAAATATGTATTTTGATATATGTTTTTTTTTAAGTATAAATATATTTTTAGAAGTCTAGATACATATTAATATATAAAAATGTAAAAATATGTATTTATACTTTTAAAAACTATATCTATAAAACCCATATTCATAATTCTAAAAATATTATTTATCTTTTTAAATGGTATAACCATGCAAAAACACACACACACCAATAAACATATATATATATATATATATATATATATATATATATATATATATATATATATATATATATAACATTAAAAAAATACAATATTTAATTAAATATTTTTTCGTATATAAATACGATTTTTCTGCATGAATATGTATATTATGAAAAAAAATATACTTAGGGTAAAAGTGTAAAAAAATTATAAACTTAAGGGTTTTTTTGCGAATTTAATATAATGGTAACCTGGAAAACCTGTTATCACCGGTAAAAGGGTAAAACCGAACATTTTTTCGAAAATAATTGGGTAAAAACGGACATAAATTTCAACTTTGGGCAAAACCGACAAAACCCTGAAAACTTGATGGTTTTTATAACATTAGCCCTTATCATTAATGATACAAATATGGATATTTATCATGAAGCTTTAAAATATAAACTATTGTTCTTAGATAAAATTTCAACTGATGTATTTGTCTGCTTTTTATCTAAGTGTATACTAAAAGAAGCTATAAATGAATGGGGTAGTTTAGCATAATCGTAATCAAATAGTATATAGAAATCATGCTATAAGATACTTTAGAAGTTAAAAGAAAAGGTTAAAATGATTGGAAGAGTTACCCCGAGAAGGAAAGATGTTTAACCTTGAAATGAAATAACCTTGAAATGAAAGCGACTACGATTATTAATGCTTTTAACATGTTTTTTATGGGATGCATGCAAAAGTGACTTTACCTTGATTTACATTAGATCATCAAGCAATGACTTTAAAGTCATCGCCTATGTGACACCTGTATATTTCGTAGAATACTATTCATTTATAAATTATTATTCACGTGATAAATGTATAATGTTGTCAATAGATTAATGATCTAAACCCTTATTGCTGAACGTCGAAATATATTATAACATCTTAAAAATAGGTATATGTTACACCTGTTTTTTTCTCAAAACCAATTGTCCAGGTATATTTTACGACGTTAGTTATCGATTATTAAATTAGCTACGTCGTAAAATAATATCGATATTGGGTATTTATATATAACGTCAAGTCGAATCTATTAAGATATTTTCAAAGATGACATACGAAAGCTATACTTTTCAAGAGTTGGTGATTTCATGACCAAAATATCATATTTAGAATATAAGTCGGTTTCGATAAAATTATATCAAAATGAATTAAACGATCTAAAAGAAATACATTTTATCAAACATTATGTTATTATAATGAAGTATAATTTAAACTAGTTAAGTTTTATAAATGTATACATATATATTTTTGAGGAGCTATATATAAATTATTTAAGGAAGAAAAAAAATGATACGTGTTTCTTTCAAATATATGTGTGGTTAAAAATCGATAGTACATCTTCAATTAAGTGAGGGTATAGCATGTGTAACATTCGTTCCAGGTATGAGTTAATTTTTAAATGTTAAACTTTCATTTTTGGGTGGCCACGACGTCATGAAGCTTCACCACGGCGTGACATTAATTTTATGATCGCGGGAATTAAATGACCCGCCACGGCATGGCAGCTGTTTTTGGAGGAAACCTCAATCCTTAGGCTTTAGGCCCAATTTAAAGGACATTATAGCTAGGGTTTCGTGATCATTCTACATCCATCATCCTTCCAAGATCAGAAACCCTAACCCTAGCCTCCATTGCATTTGTGAACTCATTTTGGTACTTGTGGTGGTCTTTGAAGGAGAAGGAAGCCCGTGGTGTGAAGATTCACCTTGCAAGCATCATCTTCATCTTCTAGCATATCATCTGGACCTTGGTGAGTGTCCAAGATTCAACATTTTCCTTGCTAAGTTTCTAGATCTCTAGTTTTGTCCATTATTCTTCATGTCTTGATGAGTTTGGGTGGTGAGATCTCATAAAGTTTGCAACTTTATGAATCTCCTGGCCATTTGGGGCATTTGGTGTTTTGGATCTGAAGTAGGAATGAGTTTTGGTGTCATGCATGAAATCTTGGTCATAAAGCCCTTGTTTTAACCTAATAAGAGTTCAAGACATGCATGTCTGTAAAGCACAAATTTTTATGTTAGTAATGGTGCTTGAACCCTTCTAGAATTAATGGACAAGAGACCTTCAAGATTAAGTACTTAATGATTAAGCTATGTTATGTTTTTGCCCTTTTTGGACCAAGGAGTTGAGGTCTTGATCTCTTGGAGAGTCTTAAGGGATAAAGTTGGAAACTTTATCTATTTAGACCATAGAATGGACCAGATCTGAGCTTTGGAGCTCTTAGAATCGAAGAAATGGCTTAACCCATTAAGCTGTTAGAAACCTAGTGCTCACGACGTGACCTTAGGCCGCCACGGCGTGGCGACTGGGAAATGACTGTCTGTATTGTCGTATGTGGGTCACGACGTGGTCATGAATGGCCACAACGTGACGGTTGACTAAAGTCAACGTTGACCTTCGACTTTTTTACTTGAGTTGACTTTTGGTCAAATTCCTAGTTTTGGTAGAAGAGCTAAGGGATTACCTTGTGTAAATGTATAGGTGGTGCTTAGCATTAGTATTTCTGGAAGCGAGAGTAGTAGCAGCTGATTATCGACTAAGAGGTGAGTCTCTTCACTGTACTCATTGGTCGAAGGCATCAATGTCGGCCCACTGGATTATGTTTGTAGGATAATAGTTGTCTTTGTGACACTTGCTGATATGCATGTATGTGCTTATTGTCTTTGTGACTCTTGTTGATATGACTATATGCTTATGGATAGTGGTAAAATAGACCCGGGGGTGAAATAGACCCGTTCGGATGAAAAACACCGATTGAGTTGAAATAGACACAGGGGTTAAATAGACACAAATGTGAAATAGACCCGGGGGTGAAATAGACCCGTTCTGTTGAAAAATTACCAATTGAGTTGAAATAGACCCGGGGGTGAAATAGACCCGTACAACTTCAAGTTGATATGTATGTATGGTATGGGGTATTTTGGGGAATTCAATAAGCTTTGTGCTTACAGTTTTATGTTTATGGTTTCAAGTACTTTCGATTCCTAAGGGAAGAGCTCGACATGATTGTACCGCATCCACCAGTATTCTGCATGATTTGATCAATTTTGTACTCCGATGATTGTATGACATATTTTATACTATGATGGGTTTTCAAACTTAATGAATGGTTGTTTTGATCGATTTAAAATAAAAGTTTTACTTAGTATTTTTGGAACGTTCCAGCATCTGTGTAATTAGATAAATGGATTGCATAAGCAAGATTTCTTGATTACTCATTAGCTACGTTGCTATTAATGAGCCACATATTTTGAATGATAATTGTACTTTTTGGTGATTCACATATGAACATTCGCGTCTTAAGATTAATAGATACGTGTTAAGATATCATACACATTTCTTTGATAAGAATTGAAAAAGGATAGGGAAGCATTTAATTTGTTGTACGAATTTAAATACGTCATGGTGAATCCAATTTATTATAAATAGGAGTATCATTCTGAATTTGAAGCATACCACTCAAACATAAATATTAGAAAAAAAGAATAGAAGATATTTTGGAAGAGGAAAATTTCAGTTAATAAGAGATCGAGCAGTTACTATTAGAACTAATTACGATTTGAGATTACACTCATTTTCATCATACACAATTATAGATAAAATAATTTATTAATTGAATTTTAATGTGTATTATATGTTTATTTCATGTTATCTATTATATGGATAAATTGCATGACAGGATTATGATTGACTTAATCATAAATCGTTAAAATAATTGTATAGTTTATTACTAAAATTATTTTATTACCATAATTAATTTATATTTAAATTGGGTAGTGAAAGGGTGTGAAAAACAAAATAGTTGAGTGAGGTTATGAACAATATTGCACCATTGTGCTACAAGGACAAGTCATCTGCCGGAGTAAGATGATGACCACTGATTGTTCTAGACAGTCTTCTGGAACACTAGCAAGTTCATTACATGTAGGTGTTAATGATCATACTTTTCAGGAAAAAGGAAATGTGATCATTCGGGTACTCCGTCCCCCATGGTTGCCTTTATTGACTTACACTTGCCAAGGAATCCCTAAAGCAATGTAGTCTACTTGTTGCTTACACTGAACCATTAAGATAAATCCCTTGAGATCATTGCTTTAGGATCAGGGTGTGAGGTTGACGGGGTTGGGTAATCACGAGTATATTATTGGTTGTACTATGTTTTGTATATAATATTGAAAAGATT